AAATAATATAGATCAGAGCAGAAATCAATGAAATAGAAACCAAAAAAACAACAGAACAAATCAATGAAACTAGGAGCTAGTTCTTTGAAAGAATTAATAAGATTGATAAACCCCTAGTCAGACTTATCAAAAGGAAAAGAGAAAGGACCCAAATTAATAAAATCATGAATGAAAGAGGAGAAATCACAACCAACATCAAAGAAATATAAACAATTATAAGAACATATTATGAGCAAATTTGATGATCTGGAAGTAAGGGATGCATTCCTAGAGACATATAAACTACCACAACTGAACCAGGAAGAAATAGAAAACCAGTAAGGAGATTGAAGCAGTCATCAAAAATCTCCCAACAAACAAAAGCCCAGGGCCAGACGGCTTCCTAGGGCAATTCTAACAAACATTTAAAGAAGAACTAATTCCTATTCTCCTGAAACTGTTCCAAAAAATAGAAATGGAAGGAAAACTTCCAAACTCATTTATGAGGCCAGCATTACCTTGATCCCAAAACCAGACAATGCCCCATCAAAAAAGAGAATTACAGAATATCCTTGATGAACACAGATTTGAAAATTCTCACCAAAATACTAGCCAATAGGATCCAACAGTACATTAAAAGGATTATTCACCACGGCCAAGTGGGATTTATTCCAGGGCTGCAAGGTTGGTTCAACATCTGCAAATCAATCAATGTGATACAATACATTAATAAAAGAAAGAACAAGAACCATAAGATACTCTCAATAGATGCTGAAAAAGCATTTGACAAAGTACAGCATCCTTTCCTGATCAAAACTCTTCAAAGTGTAGGGACAGAGGGCACATGCCTCAATATCATCAAAGTCATCTATGAAAAAACCACCGCAAATATCATTCTCAATGGAGAAAAACTGAGAGTTTTCCGCTAAGGTCAGGAACATGGCAGGGATGTCCATTATCACCACTGCTATTCAACATAGTACTAGAAGTCCTAGCCTCAGCAATCAGACAACAAAAAGAAATTAAAGGCGTCCAAATTGGCAAAGAAGTCAAACTATCACTCTTTGCAGATGATTTGATACTATATGTGGAAAACCCAAAAGATTCCACTCCAAATCTGCTAGAACTCATACAGGAATTCAGTAAAGTGTCAGGATATAAAATCAATGCACAGAAATCAGTTGCATTTATTTACACCAACAACAAGACAGAAGAAAGAGAAATTAAGGAGTCAATCCCATTTATAATTGTACCCAAAACCATAAGATGCCTAGAAATAAGATACCTAGATACCTAACCAAAGAGGTAAAGAATCTATACTCAGAAAACTATAAAGTACTCATGAAAGAAATTGAGGAAGACACGAAGAAATGGAAAAATGTTCCATGCTCATGGATTGGGATAACAAATATTGTGAAAATGTCTATGCTACCTAAAGCAATCTACACATTTAATGCAAATCCTATCAAAATCCCACCTTTCTTTTTCAAAGAAATGGAACAAATAATCCTAAAATTCATATGGAACCAGAAAACACTTCGAATAGCCAGAGGAATGTTGAAAAAGAAAGCCAAAGTTGGTGGCATCACAATTCCAGACTTCAGGCTCTATTACAAAGCTGTCATCATCAAGACAGCATGGTGTTGGCACAAAAACAGACACATAGATCAATGGAACAGAACAGAGAGCCCAGAAATAGAACCTCAACCCTATGGTCAACTAATCTTCGACAAAGCAGTAAAGAATGTCCAATGGAAAAAAGTCTCTTCAACAGATGGTGTTGGGAAAATTGGAAAGCCACATGCAGAAAAATGAAACTGGACCATTTCCTTACACCACACATGAAAATAGACTCAAAATGGATGAAGGACCTCAATGTGAGAAAGGAATCCATCAAAACCCTTGAGGAGAACACAGGCAGCAACCTCTTTGACCTCAGCCGCAGCAACATCTTCCTAGGAACATCGCCAAAGGCAAGGGAAGCAAGGACAAAAATGAACTATTGGGACTTCATCAAGCTCAAAAGCTTTTGCACAGCAAAGGAAACAGTTAACAAAACCAAAAGACAACTGACAGAATGGGAGAAGATATTTGCAAACGACATAACAGATAAAGGGCTAGTATCCAAAATCTATATAGAACTTATCAAACTCAACACCCAAAGAACAAATAATCCAATCAAGGATGGGCAGGGATTGAACAGACATTTCTGCAAAGAAGACATCCAGATGGCCAACAGACACATGAAAAAGTGCTCCACATCACTCGGCATCAGGGAAATACAAATCAAAACCACAATGAGATACCACCTCACACCAGTCAGAATGGCTAAAATTAACAAGTCAGGAAATGACAGATGCTGGCGAGGATGCAAAAAAAGGGGAACCCTCCTACACTGTTGATGGGAATGCAAGCTGGTGCAACCACTCTGGAAAACACCATGGAGGTTCCTCAAAATGTTGAAAATAGAGCTACCCTACAACCCAGCAATTGCACTACTGGGTATATACCCTAAAGATAAAAATGTAGTGATCCAAAGGGGCACGTGCACCCGAATGTTTATAGCAGCAATGTCCACGACAGCCAAACTATGGAAAGAACCTAGATGTCCATCAACAGATGAATGGATAAAGAAAATGTGGTATATATATATAATGGAATACTATACAGCCATCAAAAGAAATGAAATCTTGCCATTCGCGACGACATGGATGGAACCAGAGGGTATGATGCTTAGCGAAATAAGTCAACCAGAGAAAGACAACTATCATATGATCTCCCTGATATGAGGAAGGGGAGATGCAATGTGGGGAGCTTGGGGGGTAGGAAAAGAATAAATGAAACAAGATGGGATCGGGGGGGGAGACAAACCATAAGAGTCTCTTAATCTCACAAAACAAACTGAGGGTTGCCGGCGGGAGGGAGGTAGGGAGAGGATGGTAGGGTTATGGACATTGGGGAAGGTATGTGCTATGGGGAGTGCTGTTAAGTGTATAAACCTGGCGATTCACAGGCCTGTACCCCTGGGGCTAATAATACATGATATGTTAATAAAAAAATTTAAAAAGATCAACAATTTTGTTATTTAATAATGTAATTTAAGAAAAAACCACTTTAAAAAAAAAAAGAAGAAACCACTTTAATGAGGACAGGACACTAGTATATAATTAATAATTTAAAGCATCTGCGAAAGCAGTAATTAATCCTACTTACCACAGATATTTGTTGTTTGTAAATAAATGGATACTTCTGGTTTATATGACTGAAAAGCTCCTTAAGCAAGACCTTTTTCTCTACAGGTAGTCTCTTGCTGACTTATTATAAATTCTAAATAAGACAAGCTTAAAATCATGATTATTTTAATAAATGATCAACATAGATCTAGTTTATGTAGGTAGACTTATAAATTAGAAAATCAGAACTGCCATGAGAACAACACAATTGCAGACCATTAGAAAAAAGAAGTGGTACAGGGCCACCTGGGCACGTCAGTTGGTTAAGTGACTGCCTTTAGCTCAGGTCATGATCCCGGAGTCCTGGGATCTAGCCCTACATCAGGCTCCCTGCTCCTTGGGGAGCCTGCTTCTCCCTCTCCCTCTGTTTGCTGTTCCCCCTGCTTGTGTTCTCTCTGTCAAATAAATAAAATCTTTAAAAAAAAAAGTCATATAAATTTTACAAATTACTCTTTCTGCTATATTTTATGTTAGTTACTATGTCCTCATTTTAACATAAGTTGGGGTTAATTATACATTAGAAATGATCTGGAGAAACTAAAGAGAAATCAAAAAAATTATCAAAGTGACTAATAGAAAAGAAAATTATTTCTGTTAAAGAAAAGCTGAAGAAATGAATGCTATTTTATATAGCAAAAAACAAACAAAAAAAAACCCCCTAACGGCCATGTTCATTATTGTCTCCAAGTAGTAACAGTTTGCTTGACATCTATCACAATGTCAACAGAAACCAAACCAGGAGAATTAGGCTTAAATTCTCACAGAAAACATTCTAACTGGCTAAACTGTGGAATCATAATAGGATAAAACATTAGAGTGGGGGTTTTTCTGGGGAGATTATCTCTCTGCTTTCTAGATATTGTCAAGGAGAAGTAAACAAAAAAAGCTTCAACTGTGTAGAACAGTGAAAGAAAAAAAAAAGTACTCCTCTAAAAGCGAAGAGTACAACAAAATTGACTCTCCAAATCCACTACAGATTTATGACTCTAGAACTGTAGCAGTCAACATTTAAAGTAATTATTCATAAAAACTGACATGAGTAAATAATACGTATATCTCTGCCTGAAGTAATTTTTCCCAAGTAATGAGATTAACAAAACACTGTACGTTAAGTATACTGGAATTTAAAGCTCACTTTAGAGCATGTTCAGTGCTGACACAAAAGAGTGTCTCCTTAAATTTTTTACCCTGGGTGTCTCATTTGCTTAATCCTAGACCTGGCCCTAATATATTATGTCACACACACACAAAAAAAATCAATGCATTCCATAAATTAGAAATAATAGAAACAATATTCTCTGATTATAATGCAATAAAACTATAAATTAAAAAAGCCTCCCAGCTGGAAATTAAAAAACCTTCTGTTACGAACTGATCTGTGTCTCCCCAAAATTTGTATGTTGACATCTCGACTGGAGTATTTTAGAATGTGATTGCATTTGGACACAGGACCTTTAAAGAGGTAACTAAGGTTAAATAAAGCTATCTGGGTGAATCCTAATCCATATGACTGGTATCCTCATAAGAAGACAGAAAGGTACTAGACACAGGCACACAAAGGAAAGGCAGTATGGGGACAGAGCAAGAAAGTAACCATCTATAAGCCAACAACAAAAGAGGCCTCAAGAGAAACCAAGTCTGACAATACCTTGAGATCTCAAATTTCTAATGTCCAGAACTATTAGAAGATAAATTTCTATTGTCTAAACCCTCTTGGTGGTGGTACTTTATTCTGACAGTCCCAGCAAACTATTAATTTCATCTCTTATTAAACAACTACACCTTCTAAGCTTTGCGCAGTGGCAGTATCGTAGCCAATGAGGTTTATCCGAGGCGCGATTATTGCTAATTGAAACAACTACACCTTCTATTAATACATCTATTAATTCTTGGGTGAAAAGGAAAATGTAAATTCAAATTAGAAAATCCTAAAAGATAATAATTAAAACACTAGAGAATATACTTAATATACCTAAAACAGGGATAAGAAAAATCTCATACTAAAACTTTACCAACAAAAATGAAGAACACTTGTTGAGTAAATTCCCAACTCAAAATAAAACAAAAAAATAAAAGAAAGCATAAAGTATATAACATGATCTTAGAAAACTCAAAATCTACAAAGCAGCTAGTAGAAAATACATGAGTTTAGTAAGGTCACAGGACTCAAGGTCCTTACATAAAAGTCCACTGACTATATTTCCACATGCCAGCAAGAAACAGAAAGTGAATTTTTTTTATTTTTAAGATTTTATTTATCCACTTGACAGAGATCACAATTAGGCAGAGAGGCAGGCAGAGGCGGGGGGGAAGCAGGCTCCCCACTGAGCAGAGAGCCGATGTGGGGCTCGAGCCCAGGACTCTGAGACCATGACCTGAGCCGAAGGCAGAGGCTTAACCCACCGAGCCACCCACGTGCCCCAGAAAGTGAAATTTTTAAAAAACTGCTCTCATTTATAATCATATAAAAGTGCTGAGGAATAAAATGTAACATAAGATATGCATGACATATTCCATGAAAACTATAAAACTCTGATAATAGAAATTAAAGATGATCTGATTAAAGAAGAGACATGCCATATTCATGGGTTGGACAGGCTCAGTATTGTTGAGATGACAACTCTTCTCAAACTGAGTTACAGATTCATTATAGTTCCAATCAAAACCCTAACAAGCCTTTCTGAAAAAGGTGATAGGCTGATTTTAAAATTTATATGGAAAGGCAAAGGACTTAGAAGAGCCAAAACAATCTTTACAAGAAAGAACAAGGTGGAGGACTTGCACTACCTGCATCAAACTTACTATAAAGCCGCTGTGGTCAAGACAGTGTGATATTCATGTGAAGACGGACAAACGGATCAATGCAATGGGACGGAGTCCAGAAACAGACACTTAATGGTCAACTGATTTTTAACAAAGGAACCAAAACAATTCAATGGAGGAAAAGACAGCCTTCAACAAATGATGCTGGAACAACTGGATACCTATATGGAAATAAAAAATGATTGTCTACCATCACCTCACACTGCACAGAAATTAACATGAACTGGATCATGAAACCCAAATGTAAGAAACAAAATACTAATTTTTTAGAAGAAGACAAAATAGAAATCTTTGTGACACAAGATCAGGCAAAGCTTTCAAAAAATAAAAAATAAAACCACAAACTAGAAAAGGAAAAAAATTATAAAATTGACTTCGTCAAAATAAATTTTGCTTTCAATAGACACAATTAAAATAAACAAAGCAATCCACAGACTTAGAACATACCTGTCAAATACGTATTTCACAAAGGGCTTGTGTGCAAAGTAAAGCGCTGTTACAACTCAATATGAAAATAACGTCCTAATTTTAAATATGGGCAAACTATGTGGACGAATACTTCAAAAATCCGTATTACGAGATGCTAAACCTCATTAGTCATTGCGGAAAATCAAATTAAGACCACAATGATATATTACTACACATCTGCTAGACTTAGGTTAAAAAAAAACTGACAATAACAAGTGTCAGTCAAGATGTGTGAATCAAATGGAACTGGCATAGGGGAACTCTCATATGTTGCTATGGGAATGTCTTCCATCACGATCACTCTGTAAAACAGTTTTGCTATATATGTTGCAGAAGAGCACTGCTATATGTCATCACTCAGCAATGTCATTCCTAGATATTTAACCAAGGGAAATAAAATTGTATGCCCAAAGACTTCTACATGAATGTTCATAGTAACATTAATCACAATAGCCCCAAACTAATAACAACCCAAATATCTGCCCATCAAAAGGAAAATGAATAGGGGCGCCTGGGTGGCTCAGTGGGTTAAAGCCTCTGCCTTCAGCTCAGGTCATGATCCCAGCGTCCTGGGATTGAGCCCCGCATCGGGCTCTCTGCTCAGCAGGGAGCCTGCTTCATTCTCTCTCTGCCAGCCCCTCTGCCTACTTGTGATCTCTGTCTCTGTCAAAATAAAATAAATAAATAAAATCTTAAAAAAAAAAAAGGAAAATGAATAAACAAATCATGTTACATCCCTTCAATGGAATATTAATCAGCAACAGAAAGGAATGAAATACTGATATATGCAACAACATGGATAAAGGCTGGGGATCAGAGGAAAGGTCAAGTGCAAAGAGACACAGGGAAACTTTTAGGGTAATAGAACTGTTCTTTGCTTTTACTATGGTGGTGATGATTACAAAACTTTATACAATTACCAAAAGGCATCACGCTGCACATTATTTAAATGGGTGAATTTTATTTTACGTACATTAAACACTAATAAAACTATTAAAACTTCTTAATGGCAGAAAAACACAGAAAGAAGAAGAAAGTAGAAATTAATGAGGTAGGAAACAGAAAAACCGTTGACTCCATAAATCAAATTCCTAGTTTAAAAAAATACTGAACTGTATGCTTAAAATGATTAAAATAGTGAATTTTGTTATGTGTATTTTATCACAATAAGAAGAATAAAATCAACAAAGCACTAGCCAACTAGATTAACAAATAGAGGAAGAAAGCACATATATAAATAAGAAATAACCCAGGGAAAATAAGCATTCATTAAAACAGAACAAATTGGAAAATAAAAACTATTCTTCAGACCTCTATGCAGACAAATTTGAAAACCAAGATGAAATAATTTCTTATGAAAACACAGATCATCAAAATTGATCCCAATAGAGACAAAGAGCTTAACAGATTGTTTTCTATAGAATAAACAGATAATTACTCCAGAAGTTGAGGTTGGTTCAAGATTAAGAAATCCATTAACACACAATATTAATAGTGCAAGAGAGGAAAAATTATGACTGTCTGCAGAGATGACGAAAACCTTTGAAAATTTGCGACATCATACCTATCATCTCTACTATAGTGTTTGCCAAATGATCTTTTCCTATTTCTGTCATTTTTTCTATGTTTGTTAGTTGGAATTCTCCTGAAAAGAGCTTTCCTTCTAAATATTATACATTATGTCATCTAGACACATAGATTTTTATTTTATCCTATGGATTGTAACATTTTATTATAACTTATGTCTTTGCTCAAACTGTCTCAGATTTGGTCATTGGGTGCTAAGATTAGTGGAAGAATGTATGATGAGAAAGTATGACAAAAAAATTTACATAGTCTCAAAGCATTTCCCCATAAGGTATTTATATATCACAAAGAGAAAAGAACAGTCATTTTATACTGGAAAAATCTGGCCAACATCACCTTAACCAAACAAAGTGAACATCACCAGTAAGGGAACAAGTAATATACCTCCTAATATAATGCACTGAAGACACAGGACTTTGATTTTGGTGTTATTTTTGCTAAAAATATATAACCTGAATTTAATCATAAAGAATTTAAGACAAACTCAAATTGAGGGACAATCTCTAAAATAACTGGTCAGCACTCTTCAAGTAAAGGCAATGTATAATTCTGGACTGGATCTTGGACCAGAAGAAGGATATCAGTAGGACAACTAGTAAAATTTGAGTAAACTCTATAGGTTTGATACAATACTATTTATTTCCTGATTATATTAATGTTAGTATCTTAGCTTTGATTATTGTAATATGGTTATATAAGATGTCAATCTTTAGAGATCTCAGTGAAGGTCAGGTAGGAATTCTGTGTATGACTTTTACAATGTTTTGTTAGCTCTAAGATTATTCCAAAATGAAGTTTAAAATATATCTACGCATAGATAACCTAATACTCTGAAGTTCCCTTCTGGCCGACTCTTCTGCCATCTGTGAAGCCCGCAATTTCTCTTCATACTGATCCTTTTCAGATTGCCTCCAGACATCATGTTCCACTTTCATTTTCTCTAAATCCGCTAATCTGTTCTCAAGTTCTATCCTAAAACAACAGATGATAATTATGTTACAAAAACTACAATGAGAATGCTATGACAGCAAAATGTTTTCATTTGCAAGGAGACTGAACACAAAATAAGGTAATTAAGTGCTTACTTTTCATCTTGTAATACCACAAGTTTTTGATAACCTTCTTCCTTGGCAGCTTGTACTTTACGTATTAATTCACGATCCTTTTCTACGAGGAGAGCTTTGTGGTGTTCGACAGCGGACTTGAGAATTTCATTGTCTGACTGTAATCCTAATATTTTTTTTAAGGAAAAAGATATGCTGTATTCAATGTTATTAAGCTAAAAAATCCTAACAGCAAGCATCCATAAGCTGGCAAGACAACTAAAAGACCGTAGAAATTTAAGTCTGGATATGTATTCTCAAAGATCTTTACATTATTAATAAACCTTTTAAGAATGAAATAGACTAAAACTCAGTTAACTATTCTGTCATTATTTTATTTAGCACACATATATAAACACTTTAATGAAGGACTATATATATTTACTCGCTTGACTCTTGAGAACAGGGGGCATCAACCTAGGTGATATCCAAAGAGATATAAATATTTACTCCACTTCTAAAAGGGTTTTGTAATCTTAGCCCCATAGATAGCATCATCATAAAGCTGGTTGAAAGTAGAGTGAATAAAATCATGGAACCCTTCAAAACCTATCATTCTAACAGAACTGTTAGATTACCAATAGAAATAAAAATTGGAAGGGCACCTGAGTGGCTCAGTCAGTTAAGTCAGGCAGGTGCCTTTGCCTCAGGTCATGATCCCAGGGTCCTAGGATCAAGCCCCACATCAGGTTCCCTGCTCATTGGGGAGTCTGCTTCTCCCTCTCCCTCTGCCTCCCAGCTCATGATTTTGCTCTCACTCTCTATCTCAAATAAATAAGTAAAATCTTAAAAAAAAAAAAAAAAAGAAATACAAATTCGAAACTTTCAAGTTTATCCAATGAATTCACACATTTTCCTTACATTGATATGGCAAGTATTTTGCAGATGGAATAACTAACACAAATTCATATGTAACACAAAATTTTAAAAGAATGCATAACTA